AAAACAGAAGTTACGGATCGTTATATATATTGAATCATGAAAAGTAATCATGCAAAGTACATATGTATATGATTTATCATATAAATAGAGCATTTAATTAAAATACATCATCATTCAATCGTGATTGACTGCAGCATGTTTTTATAGGATGCCTTCCACGCATCATAAACATCGTAGTTTATCGAAACTATAAAATCGGGTTTCTATCTAAGGCCAGGCGCCAGGGCCATTAAACTTAGATGAGCTCACTTTTGATCTCATTCTCACTTTTACCAAAGGAATTAATAGTGGAAAAGTGAGACTGAGATCAAAAGTGAGATAGTCTAAGTTTTATGTCCCCGGGTATTTTGCAATGTGAGATTATTCTCTTTGTAAGACGATACAAACAATGGTATCAAAGGCACTCGGGGATTTTTGGGGTCTTATCGGTTGGGTTACAGTATTGTAATTATACTGTCTTGTCTGTTCATCATCCTACAAGGAAGTTAAATATTTTTGAAGTTATATGTTCTGATGTAAAAGTTACAGCCAAATTTTTTTTTTTTTTTTTTTTTTTTTGAAAAGTAGGTCAAACTTCAAGGACATGAAGAAAGAAATCATAAATGTAATACTTTTTGAAATATCTTGACATATATAATGCACATGAAAAAAGTAAAAATAAAAAAAACCCCTGTCTTTTCAAGTACAAAAGAAACGGCCAAGGTTAAAATACTGGTATTTAAAAAGTAGGTCACTTCAAGTCAAGGTCAAAAACATTAGTACACTCAGAAAGGTCTTCTCAAGGGTATTGAACACAAGAAACATGAACGTCCGATATTAGGCCTATCTCATTCAAAAGTGACATGTACGTGTAGTACTACAAGTAAATTTAAAATTTTTGAAAAAGAAAGCTATATTTCAAGGTTAAGGCAATGAGGTCAAAAATCACATTATATTCGAAAATTAAAGGTCTTGTCATAGGTAATGAACATAATTTTGAAATAAAAAAAAACCTTCGCTCATTCAAAAGTTATTTCTAAAGGTCAAACTCCAGGGTAAAGGTCAAGAGGTCAAAAACAATTTTACATTCTGAAAGGTCTTGTCACAGGTTATTGCACATGTGAAATATGAAAGCCCTTTCTTTTTTCATTCAAAGGTTATGACCAAGGATATCGTTTTTGTGATTGAGAGACAGACCGACGACACACGGTATAGTACAATTAAAGCATCATGCCACAGTTTTTCTTTCCAATTTAGGCATTAACACTTTAGTCACTAGATATGTACATGAGACCTCATCGCGTTCGAGTATTCACTACCTATACTCGAACTGGGGCCATGGTCTTTGTGTTTTGGTCCACACTTCACAGCTTCAGAATGAATTAACTTGAAGGCAGCTTTTTTTCGGGGGGGGGGGGGGGGCAATATTTGCCTTCGTGTAGATGTACTGGTTTGTCCTTCACATCTTTACACAATTTCCCTGCAACGATAGCAGCTTTGCCTCTTGAATTGCTACCCCCCCCCCTCCCTTGCGATCGGAGGTACGCGAACTCTCTGCTAAAGAGCAAATGTCATTTAAAGACTCAAGGTGTCACTTTTATTTCAAAAACAACTTTTAACGGCCTTTGAATTCTTGAGAACCGTATTGCTTATAGAACTATTTTCACATTTATTATTGGCTTTCTAAATGTATGACAACATCTTAATATTTTTTAAATGTTAGATAGCAGTAATATTCTTTCTCTATTGCCAGATGATATTTCTTGCAACTTACGTAATGATTTGATTTTTTAAAAGTCTCAAGGTGTTTTAAATACGCAATTCTCATATTTCTCATTTATAAAAAAAAAAAAAAAAAGATGTACGTTAACTGTCTTCCTTACTTTTTTATTTGTGTGTTTAGATATATGAACATGCAATAATATGGAGATGATCAGAATTGTTGAATTTCGTTGAGTGTTAAACAGATGCAGCTAATTATACCTTTACATTTTTTTAACACGATTAAATCGTGCAAAAATCAAAAGCTTTTCAATTTTTGTTGATATGCTGATGAAATTAGCTGTGAAAACGTCTATTAACTATCCCCATTTCGCATTGTTATTATCTCCCTCAGACATTAAACAAATAAAGTTTAGAAGGAAAAAAAACATATAATTATCATCCGTGATATACAGATGTTGTTTTTGAAAAATAAGTATTCCTCATTATCAAGGAGATATGTTTATTCCTACATCTTGTAGACATACGTTCAATTTAGTAGCAAGAGGTGTAGACATCTAGATAAGATAAAAGAAAGTCGAATTTTTTCCTGACTATTTGTTATGCAGTGTTAATTTCATCCTAAACTATTTACTTTGCGTGAGAGTTCTGGGTTTTTCCCTTAAAACCTGTAATTATTCCAAAACAAAAAAAATATTGATTTTTAGTGAATATGTCATATGATTAGTAATAAGCTCGTGGTTAATTAAGACGAAAAACGAAATGCCATCGATTGCAAGTTCATATATCATAATCACTGTAACAAAATTATTGAAAATCATTTAAATCATTCCTGCATAATAAATCTTTAAGTAATGAAAAACATGTATTTATCTCATTAAAAACATTTATCCTTAATTTTGTGGAACCCATTGGAATTCTTTCTCACGGGTGATATTAAACGAAAAAGTCCCAAAGATACTTTATTTCAATATTATTAATATCAAATGCTAGTATATAAGGTTTTCTGTTCTATAATTGAACAGCCATGTATATAATTTCTATCCAACGAGTTTTGTGATTTCTATCCCTGATTATTTTGCGAGGGGATCGAAATCATACAACGAGTTGAATAAAAGTTATATCATATGGAAGATTCTTTTTTTATCACATTTTACCTACTTTCACTTTCCCTTTTGGTGGCATTGCAATTTAAAAGAAAGTTTTTATTAAAACTGAGGCCAAAATATACATGCACCTTTCATAAAAGGATTTCTTTCATTGATTTTATCCATCGAATGGAAAAATACTTTTTATATATATTATATACATAGAAATACAAAATGTGATAAGAAAAATATAATTATCCAATGAAGACTACATACTTGTAAATACTGAAGAAAAAAAACAAAAAAACGGGAAACAGGTGTTAAATGGAAAATATTCCTAAGTAATATTCATAACTTGGAGAGGAAAGTAAATTTGACTGCATTTGAGGAAAATTGATATTACAATTTTAAGTAAAAACAAATTGTCAATTTAAAAAAAAAAAAAAAAAAAAAACAGTGTTATAAAGATGTACGAGGGGTTATCAAAAAGTTCGTGGACTGATTCGATAAAATTAATACTATGTAGTCTGTGCTTACAAAATTTATAGGGAACATAAATCAACAAAAGTTTAAGAAATGTTGAAAATTTTAGCTCGATATATTGATAATTTGCCAAATTATTCTAAAATAAAAAAGACATTATATGATCACCCGGCGCTGTCGCCGTTTTGTTTCATGACGTCCGACAACGTCATTGTTTCTCAATGACCGCTCTATCTACTTCATACACTTATCTTGATGAAATTACCTGGAGTAATAAGTAAGACTTAATCCCGTCTTGTTTATATGACTTTACAATGTCATGAACAGCTGCTTTCAATGCATATAATATAGTAAATGGATCTATACATAGGGAAAGATCCGAACTTGATTATGCCAGAATACTTCGCTTGTTGGAGTTCATTTTCTACCACACATGATCAACGTCACTTTTCGACGTGACTGACTTTTGACACAATAACTACAAATCGACATTAACTGTGCATCTTTCATCTCTCTGAATCTTTTTGGGTATTTAAAACGAGTACTTTGGATGCATTTTATTTTTCTGCAGCCTGTTTAAACATTCCCTAGGTCTATACCAGTTTTTCCAGGTGCGAAACAATGTAGAATGTAGGAAAAAGAAACCCCTCCCCCTTTTTGACGTCATTTTCAAGCCCTTAATTGTTTGGACACTCCATATAAAACTTACGATAAAATTTCATAGAACTTACAGAATGGGGTAAAAATTGCAAATTTTACGGAACAATTGCGTCGTACCAAATATCTGAATTAACGGGATTTTTTGAGGACAAATGCTCATATCAAAAGAGTTTTTTTCAGTTACACTCAAGTAGAAAAAAACGTCATATTTGAGGTTGCGCCGCCTGGACATACAATTGCTTACAAAAACATTAACAATTTATTAAAAAATAAAACTTATGATTTATGGTTTATCCTATAGATAGAAAAGATGATGCTAACTAAATGTGTAAAAATTCATTGATGTACCTAAAGCGGTTTTAATTTTATGGCGCTAGTCCACGAACTTTTTGATAACCCCTCGTATGCATTTGTTCTATTCAATTACATGCTGTGAAGAAACATTGATTTTTACAGAAATAGATACATAATGTAAATCTGATTCTCTATCTTTCCTGTCTTAATAAAAAAAAAAACCCAGCATTTTCGACGTCTTCCGAAAATCAAGTGGAAAACGGACAGCTGCTACCAGGATAATAAAATTGAGTATTTCCCTAAGAAAGTCGAGTGGTCTGAAATCAGTTACACGCTCAGATTTGTTAAGGTAATTGACCAATGAAGAAAAAAAATTTTGTTGTCAGTCATTTGGAGTTGTTTATTTTCAGAAAAACCGAAATTTCTAGTTAAGCATTTTTGTGCAATATTGTGTCACACGTGCTTTCAAAATATCTTATCTGTTTATGACTATTAAAAATATGAATACTTAAAAATACTTTTAAAGATTTTATTTACACTAATTTGTTTCCCGGTTAATAAAACAGAAAACTAAATTGTTTATTACTGAATTGTACTTGGTTTCCTCGTTACATTTAATTGTTTTGTATTTCACACACTTTGATGAAAAAAATTTCCCTCTAGCGGGAGAGAAAAACGATCTCATTGGATATAAGTCGCTCCACACTGCATTGTTTACCGAGCGCTGGAGAGATTGTCATTATAAAGGAGCAACATTTGGTTCAGTACACGGAGAGGGATTTCTGCCTTCCACAAGTGACAAGGGGTTTTCGTTAGGGGGAGCGCAAGTGCTAGATAAGTGACAGTACGAATTTCACTCATTAGAAGCAAGGAACTGAAAAAAAAAATTGATTTCTGACGAAGTTATATCGAGGAGAAATGAATGTAGAACACAATATGAAGAGCTGTGTGTAAATAATTTCTTGCAGATAAAAGGACATAATAGAGTGAGTAGCGATGGGAAATCAAGCGATCACGTGTCCAGATGTGCCAAAAACAAGAGGACAAGAACTCGGTAAATATTTGACAGTAAGACAGATTCATTTAGTGCAGAATTCGTGGGACTTGATCAAAGACGATCTCGGCAAATTAGGGTTATGTGTTTTTCTCAGGTAGGTTACTTATGGAGTTTTCAGTACTTTATAAACATTCCCACATGAAGCAATTTCAGGGGGAGGGGTAACCAAACATTTTCAGTTGGGGCATTACCAATCAAAAGTTCCTTGACAAACAAAAGAAAAGGTCATCAGACGTTATTATTGTGGGACACAATCATAAAGTTGCTATGTTTGCTATAGTATACACTATACAGCATATCGGCAAAGTTATGGTGGGGTGGCAAGCCCCCCCCCCCCCGTGCCCCGGTTCCCGGCCATGATAAAAGCAATGTCCCATCACCAAGCACAGTAATCTACAGTAATCTACAAGTTCAAACCCAATAATCTGATATGCTGACGTTTTATATCTGCAAGCAGTAGGTTCAAAATATATATGATCAAGTAAATAAAATAATCTGTAATTAACATCTCCCACAATCAATCATATTTTCTTCTGCTCAATGTAACTGAAGTTGTTTCATTGATATAATTTGGAGATAAAATCAAAGTCACTGAGGGAACCTTTTTCATTTTATGAAAGCATTTACGAGATTTTTTAGATTATTTATCAAATCCGATGCCAACCACTTACATTTTTTTCATAATGTGTTGATACTGTTATATAATCTGAAATGTGTAAAAGGGATCCATGCAATTCTCTTGGGGAAGGAATCCATTTTTCCTCCCAAATAATTTATAATTTGACTCAAACCCAAGCTGTAAATATCAATATTTCTTGAATTATGACAATATCAGTGTTGCTTGAAATACAATTCTCTCTCTCTCTCTCTCTCTCTCTCTCTCTCTCTCTCTCTCTCTCTCTCTGAGGAGAAAGAAGTAAAAAGTATCTGTTTTTGTTATTGAACTGGAAATTGTTATCTTTGTTTGCAGAATTTCAGAATAATGTTATTATGAACATTTACTTTAACTTTTCTTTGCATTATTGAAGTGTTTAGTCTCTTGAAACAAAGCGTCTCCCGAATTCCTAAATAGTTTCCTGGAAAAAAAAATGTTAATTACAGAGTTTGATAAAAAAAAATTTAAAATGGTTTTTAAAAAATGTCAATGCTAAAACCATTTAAAATTTATTGTTGATCTTACCCATTCAAGGGTAATGATACATGTACCTGCAAATTGTAGACAAATATGGTTAAATTATAATTGTTTGCTCAGCGTCTGATACGCAACCAGCAAACAACCACGTTTCCAAGGAATGATTTCCTGGTGGGAGGGGCAAGCATAGGAAATAAAATATAAAATAAAATAAAAAGCCCAGCCTATAGAATTTGACAAGCACGGAATGGTGGTAAAAGAAAATAATTGGGTAAAAGATGTGTTTATGTTTCATTTGGAATTTTAAATCAATTACAGTTATTTATAAGGATCAATTTTATTAATTTTTAACTAAAACAATGTCTCTTAATTTTCCTATGCTTGTGTTTATTCGAATGTAAGCACATTGAAAACTCGAAGAGAAAAAAGAAGGGGAGTATACCCTTTGTCTTACAATGTCTACATTTTGCATCATGGAACTTAACTGACCCAAAGAATAATAATAATTCATAATAATTCATTATGTTGATTAGAATGACAATATTAATTAATCACTACAAAATACAAACATATATACGATCTTCATTTATTTTACCTACTACATAAGTAATAAAAACGATCGAGATTCAATAAATGATTTTATTTAAACAAATAAGCTAAAAGTTAATGTACACGTACATGTAAGTACATGTACATAGGTACATGTATATATTGTACATGAATGTTCATGCATACTTATCTGATGTATCTGCCCTTTTCCTTAATTAAAAAAAAATGAAATAAAAATGTATACATGTATAAAAGATCTTTCAAAATTAAAATCTTCGTTTGAATACAAAGCCTCTTAATATACATTATGAACAGAATTTTTGAAACATATTGAATAAAATATTGAATAAAATTATAAAAAAAAAATACATTTCGAAATATCTTATGTAAGATGATATTTAGTTTTCACAAGTATGATTTAAATATAACTATAAATTGACATTATTTTTCTCTGATTATTCCTGTCTATTATACTCGTATATTGTTGCCCAGAGAAAATATTGGAATTATTGTCATGACGTCAAGAAATGTTGAAGTGTGAATTAACTGGAATGTACAATCTTTTTTTAATTATTGAATGTTATATTTAGTAATTAGACATCTAGATCATAAAAAATGTTTACATTGTTTGATATTAATCGAAAAATCCACAACTTTTCACTACATAAAAGAACTTGTAACCTTCTGACTATTTTTCTAGGAAAGAACAGTTTGTGACAAAACAGATTGCAGGCATAAATCCAAAAATGAACGGAAAGAACAATTTATTCCGCACCGATTTTTTTTTCATTTCATTTCGAGTTCTAGGTTATCGATACTATTTGATTTTTGTATGATTTTTTTTTATCAAGAAAGTGGTGCCAAAGGAAATTGATTTCTAGTGCAATGGCACACATTCAACTGAAAGTAATGTTTTTTTAAACAAAAAATGGTCAAGTATTTGAGACATTTGCCGAAACAGGCAAGATAACGTTAATTCTCTCTGTTAGAAGTACAAGTGTATACCTCTTAACATGTATAAAAATGAAAAAAAATTACAGATGTTTCTCATCTACAAAAGCAAAACGTTTAGGGCAGTATAATCACAGGCACTTGTTTCGGTAATAAATTTTTGACCCATAGTATAATAATAACACAAGGTATCTAACTCCGAATTACACGGAGTACCCCCCTCCCCCAGAACCGCACTCATTTACACTTTCAGAGGAAATACACTGACAAACTGTTTATACCTATGTTTTCTACGATAATTTATCTACACAACCATATATGGCATGCTTGTCTTTATTTTCTTTAGTCTCCGTAAACAGCGTCAAAACTCTGCTCGCCGAGTGCTAATCCCGCACAGAGAACAAAATTAAAAAATGAGTGGGTTAAAAAATACAATTCTAGTGTTTAAATATTGCATGAGTAAATAGAACTTGTTTACGTCTGATTTTCCCTGAAAACATTACGATGTTTATCCGATGTAATTTTAGAAACAGATTTTTAGCCAATCAAAATCTCTGTGCGGGATTAGCACATACCATTTCATGGTTGAATTCGACTTTTCCACTCGGCGAGCAAAGTTTTGACGCTGTTTACGGAGACTAAAGAAAATAAAGACAAGCATGCCATATATGGTTGTGTAGATAAATTATCGTAGAAAACATAGGTATAAACAGTTTGTCAGTGTATTTCCTCTGAAAGTGTAAATGAGTGCGGTTCTGGGGGAGGGGGGGGGGGGGGTACTCCGTGTAATTCGGAGTTAGATGTACCTTGTGTTATTATTATACTATGGGTCAAAAATTTATTACCGAAACAAGTGCCTGTGAGTATAATATATAAACCACCTAGCGTGCAATCATGCGCATTTCTGGTCACTTAAAATTTAATTTAATAATATGCTGTCAAGGCATAAAATTGACCATTTTCACTGTTGAAGCTTGTCAAATTAAATCTTATATATTTCTGTTATTTTGAGATTTTTTTAAACAATGAATCAAAGGTGATATTTTTCGGAATATGATCGTAAATAGACGTCAAATAACTGGAGGTGAATGCAGCCATTTTGATTAAAACAGTTTCATTGCCAGAACCAATGGCAATCGTGATCGGCATTGTGAATAGCATCTGATTGATGGGGTGGATTTACAGGGGACAATCCATCCATCACAAGAAAACAGACATAGCAAATTGATACAACATTGACGACAGCGAAGTAATCATGTTAATTGCGAAAAGCATCTGGTCAATATCTGTTTAACGCTTGAAATTGTGTTGGGACATTTCAGAACCGAATATGTTAGTGTCCGAGTTAATTTATTGGTACTTTTTCGAAATGTACTTGAGACTTAAGTTAACGAAATCAAGTGTCTGGCGTTTTTTCTAACCTAATCTGAAAAGTGATCGGTCTCTTTTGGTTCTCTAGAGAATTACAACAAAACTGCCCTAGACTAGATATGCAAATCAAGAAAATCTTCTGAGTCTGCAATTCCATGAAACCCACCGAAAGCAATTAAGAAAATGATTTCTCATTATTTTACGTTCACGTTCCAGTTGTATTTAGCAATCGGAGCCTCCATTACATTTCGCTAAATAAAATCTCACTTTTTGATTTAGAAAGCATCGCAATTCGACTGGAACAAGTACTTCTTGCAGAACATTTCATAAAGATTACTAGTAGCTAGGACGGAAATAACTTCTACCTCCCATTCTAGCGCTTTCGTCACTTACGTGTATGAGTATACATTTTGTCATCATTTTGCTTTAACTTCAACAGAACCTGCAGACCAATCCAACCAAATCTGACTGTAATTGTCTTAAAACTCCCAATCATTTCGTAAAAGGACTTATAAAATGACTGCATGGAAGTAAAAGGACTAATATCTAGAACACGATTTCAACAGCCACTTGGACAGAGTACTTAATTTTAGGGAAAGGATCTGGACCTAAAACAATAAGTATTATGGATTATATGACCTTAAAAATACTTGCTTTACTAAGGATAAAGGTCACGACACACTGCAGTAAAACCTGTCTAATCCGACAAGCACTGGAAGACAAAACCTATGTCGGAATAGACAGGGTGTCGAATTGCACAGTGTAAATAAAATAGAAAACAGTAAAAAATGGATTTAGATAAGGGTCGGAATTCACAGTGAAATATATTGATAGATTGCATAGGTGTCGGATTAAACGGTTTTCACTGTATACTTAATTTATTATGTAGACTAAGTGCGCTACGCTTTATTTTTGAATTGTTGTAAGCATACCAGTCAGTCACAAATACACGCAAATAATAATGAAAACAACAGTTTCTTAACAAATAAACATAAAACGAAACATTTTTCTATGCCTGAAATATACATGTATAATAATTTGAAAGGGTTTTTTAAATTTGAATTTACTTCGAGTCTTTTAGCAAGTGCAAT